GGGCTCGGATCCAGGTTCTGGGCAGTCTTCCATGCCGGCTGGAGCTAGCGACCTCCCTGCCACCGGGCTGTCCTGCGTGCCGGGGTGTCCTGCGTGCCGGGGCTGGTGGCCCCACGGCCGACTCGTGTGCTGCAGAGCCTTGCCAGCTCTCCAGCGGCCCCTGCCCACCAGATGCCTAGACCTCGGCGCCTGCGCGGCTGTCCTGCGCGGCTGGCTTGCAGGTGATGGCCAGGCCTTGGTGCGGGAAGGCATTGGCCGCTTTAGTTTCTGTCGTGGGTGGCAGCAGCTGCGTTTTTCTAATAGCCAAAGCTGGGTGGCAACGCAGATGCTCAGCGGGAGAAATGGAAGGACTCTACCCACGGGAATGTCATTCGGCAATAAAAGCAAGCTGTCGCGGGGGCCCCCTAGCCGAGTGGTAAAGGGATCCTGACCGTGGTTGAAGCCCAGAGGATGACGTGGTGGAGAGATCTGAGACACGAAGGATCTGGGGCTACCCCGGGAAGTTCCGGAGTGTGCAAGCCAAGGGCAGAGCGAGGGAGGGTCTGAGAGTGAATACCTCTCCCCTCTGTCTCTCACTCTCATGGGAGGGGCGGGGAGGATAAAAAGGAAGATTTACTAAGTAACCTTTTCCACCAAATGTCTTCTTAAAAATCTTACTTTGGGGGCCAGTAGGTGATGTAATGATTACAACGCTGGACTCCCACATGGCTGGCCATGGCGGAGTTCCCCTGAAACTCGCACTGGGCTAGTGTGCGTGCATACCCAAAACCCTGAGAGGAGGATGGAGAAGGGATTGCAGCCTGGCCATCCTCCCCGCAGGGGGTGATTGCTCACTTTCTGTTTCTGTGTGTTGTCCAGTGACTGCTCATGCCCTATAGCAAAAAAACCTCTTTAAAAATTCATTAGTTGTTTTTGTCTGGGGCCAGCAGGTGGCGTAGTGGTTAAGGTGCTGGACTCCCACATTACAGACCTAGTTCGAGTCCCGGACCTGGCTGCTTGAAACTCACACTGGGTGCATGTGTGAGCATGCCCCAAATCCCAGGAGGAGAATGGAGGACAAGGAATTGCAGCGTGGCAGTCCCCCCTGGAGGGTGATCTCTCACTTTCCCTCTCACTGTCTCTGCTCAGCAAGTGCACTCGCTCTACAACAAAAACCGTTTTTAAAAGTGAATTGTAAGAAATATCATTGCTGGGGCCAGCAGGCGGCATGGTGGCTATGCTGATGGACTCCCCCCATGGCCGACACGGTTCCTGTGCCAGACCAGTGGCTCAGACTCACACCAGGCGTGTGTGCATGCGTGCCCAAAATCCCCAAGAGGAGAATGAAGGAGCAGGGGTTGTGGCGTGGCCATCCCTGCTCGGGGGTGATTTCTCACATTCTCTCTCTCTGTCTCTGTGTCTTCAGCAAGCACACGTACTCTATAGCAAAAATATCTCTTAAAAAACTATACACATACACACGCACATATAATTACATTCTCACCACAGACAGGGAGAGAGGGAAAGTGAGGAAGTCCCCCTTGTACTGCATGGTCACGCCGCCGTCCCTTCCCCAGGGATTTCGGGCGAACACACACCCTTGCCCAGCGGGTTTCTCAAGCCGCTGTATCCGGGACTTGAACTGCACATTTGGCCATGTGGGACCCACTATGCTATTGGCTGGCCTCCAGGAAAAAACATCTGACTTGTGACCAAAGCATAAATTCCGGAATCGAGTCCCCGGCACAGCCCCCCTCCACCGAAGCGACCGCAAGGGCGTTGTCTGCAGGCGCTGGTCCAGGCCTCCTTCCACAGGCGCAGCCCGAGTGGTGCGGGCGTGGGGTCAGACCCTCCAGCTCTGCGCTTGCCTGCTGGGAGGGCCTAGGCGCAAGGGCTTCTCTCAGCCTGTCCCTCCTGTAAAGTGGGGACAGCGCCCTCCTCGGAGGCGGCAGGGAGGCGGTGCAGGCGGGAGGCCCCGCAGCGGCGGAGGATGGGCTCTGTCCGCGGTGCTGAAGCGCCCGCTCCGGAGGCCGCCGAGGACAGGGAATACGAGGGCCAACTTCTGTCCGCGGAGGCAGGACAGCCGCAAACGCTCCCCACCCCCGACCTCTGTGGGCTAACTAGAAGGGCAAAGATGAGACGTGCACGCATACTCATACGTGCACGCACACAGACAACACATGTGGACACAGCCGTGCGTACACGCGTGCACTCATACGTGCACGCACAGACAACACATGCGGACACACGGGCGCTTGTACACACACGTGAGTACACGCACGTGAACACACCCGATACATGCACACGGCACTACTGTCCCCCCATGCCCTCTGGCGGAGGGTGCTGGGAAATGCGGGTGCTATAACCCAGCCCCGTTAGAGCCGCGGTGAAAGCCTGAACGGGGTAGAACTGGCCCCGTCAAGGCCCGGCCTGGCCCGCCGTGTGCACTGCAGGCCCCACTATCCTCGCTGGGGCACCCTGCGGGGAGCAGGGGGTGAAGGAACCCGCCCAGCTGAGCGCTGCCCGGGCGGAGTAAGCAGAGCAGAGACCCGCCAGGACTTTGGGGCCCACCTCGGAGCCTCATTTTGTCCCTTCGACCTCGGCCTTGCGTGCCCCGCCGCAGAGATGGCACCGGTGTCGCCCGCTGTCCCCCCCGCTCGGAGGAGGCGAGGCGAGCAGGGGCGCGGGAGGGCTTTCCGGGGCCGTGGGTTCAGGTCGCGGTTCCAGCGTTTGAAGCGGTCGGCTTTACCTGCTCGCAGCTTCGGCCCTGGCAAGAGTAAAGCCGACACACGGCCCTTCCTGGACCGTGACGGGGCACAGCCTCCACCCCTGCCCTGTGGCTTCCCGGGCTTGCTGCCCGCCCTACCCGCTAGGCATGGGGGACGGTCGGTGTGCGAGACACTCCTACGCAGTGCGAGCCTTTGCCGGAGGAGGGAGCGAGCGAGGCTGCAGCCAGCCAGGGATACAGTGACGACTGCGCCGCAGCGAAGCGCCAAGGCCAAGGGTCGGGTGGTGTATGCTGGGTGCTCCAGCCGCGGGCCCTCCATGCGCGCCGCGTTCTCTCGCTCAGCCGCGCTGCGGGTCCGCACAGAGCTCGCAGTCCGTTCCGCCTGGGCCACCCACTCAGGCTCCGAACCCCCTGACAAGAGACGAGTGGGCTCTTCCCTCCAGGAGAGGCGACCAAGGGGCAGAGAAGTGAGTCCACCTCCTCAGGGCCACACAGCCTGAGTGGCGGGTGGGGACTGGCCGAGAACCCTCCCAGCTCTCGGCATGGCTCCTGCCACCGCGTCCCGGTATGTGTAGGGGTGAGGCCCGAGTAGAGCCGCCCCACCCCTGCGCGCCTCCCTTTCCGCCTCGCCTCGACTGGCCAAGGACAGTGGGAGTCGGGGGCTGAGGGGGCTGAGGGGTCGGAGGGTGCTCTCCTGCTAACCTTTGCCTTCTCCAGACAAGTTTCAAACGTCCCATTTTCCCCTTCCCTCCACCCCTTAAAGTGAAATTTCAAAAGTATTTCAAAAAGTTTGTGGCGGGACCAGCATATAGTGTGGGTTACGTTGCTGAACTCCTGCTCCGCTGGGTCCTGCCCCGGCAGCTCGAAACTCACGCCGGACGCACGTGCGTGCATGCCCAAGATCCCGAGAGGGCTGGAGACCGGGTTGCAGCGCGCCATCCTCCCTGGGCGTGACTTCTCGCTATCACTCTGGCAAGCGCACACGGCCCATAGCAAACATCTCTTTTTAAAAAGAAGTTTCTGGAGGGACCAGCAGTTGGCGTAATGGCTATGTCGCTGGACTCGCACGTAGTGGACCGCGATTCGAGTCCTGGACCCAATGGCTTAAACTAACGCCAAGCGTGTGTGCTCAAGATCCCGAGAGGAGAACGGAGAAGGGATTGTGGCATGGCCATCCCCCCAGGAGGGGTGATTTCTCGCTTTCTGTCTGGCGAGCGCACACGCCCTATAGTGAAAACCTCTCCCAAGAAAAAGTAGTAGTTTCTGGAAAAACAGAACTAAATTATTTTGGTGCAAAAAAACCTGAAACCCACGGTTTCCTCATGGTGCAGCACCCACACAGTCTGAGGACGGCTCACCAATGGGACCGTGATGACCAGCCATCTGGGCAAGCCAGCGGCTGAGGGCCGGTGCCTGCCTACAACCAGGGGTCACCATGGCCTGGCTTTAGAGGCCCTGCGAAGGGAGCAGCTGACTCCAAGTGTCAGGGGGCAGAAACCCCACTTAGAGATAAAAGCAGCCAGCAGCCTGGCCCCTCCGGTCTCCCGCCATGGGGGGGCATTGGCCATGTGGGAAACATGACCCCAGCTGCGGAACTCAGAAACCGAGCAGGCATTGGGGCACCCCCTGGTGGGCCAGCCACGTACTCACACGGGACGCCTGGACTCTGCCGGACACGGCAGCAGGCAGGTGCCCCGTAGGAACGGCCTCTGCGGCAAATGCCCACGGCCCGAGCTCACCTCACTTCCCGAGCCGTCGCAGCCAGCGCCCGCCTTTCCCAGCCTTCCCTGCATTGAGCTGACCTGTGACCAGCCCTGGGGCACCCCCTGGTGGGCCAGCCACGTACTCACACGGGACGCCTGGACTCTGCCGGACACGGCAGCAGGCAGGTGCCCCGTAGGAACGGCCTCTGCGGCAAATGCCCACGGCCCGAGCTCACCTCACTTCCCGAGCCGTCGCAGCCAGCGCCCGCCTTTCCCAGCCTTCCCTGCATTGAGCTGACCTGTGACCAGCCCTGGCTACAGGCTTCAGGCAGGGCAAGTCTTCCCGGATGCTGGATGCAGGAGGGGCTTCAGGCCAGGGGAGAAGCCTCAGGCCACTGCTGTGTGGGGGCAGCCGGCCCGCTCGGTGAGGTCGCACCGTAAGCAGGCCTCGCCCAGACAGGGCGGCAGGTGGCCTGCAGGCCATTCTCCAGCACAGCACAGCCGCACCGTGCGTGGGTTGCCCGCATGGCGGCCCGAGCTCGCATTAACACCCCTGCCCCTCTGCCTCCCAAAGTCAAGAACCACGCAGAGCAGGGACAACGGGACAGTGCCGTTTATTGCCCGCCTTCCTCCCCACGCCAGGCCAGGGACGGGCTGCACCCCCTCAGAGGGAGGCTCCTTTCAAACAGGGGGCTAGTTCCGCTTCACCTCCTTCCCCACTCAGAAAGGGAAGAGCAACTGGGGGTGGGGTGGGGGACCACGGGACCTACCCGGGGCAGAGAACAGCGGTCGGGAGGGACCGAGAAGGTGGGTATGAGTAAAACAAAGTTCTAAACGAGGCCGGTCTTCTGCCTCCCTGCGGAACCCTCTAAATGCAAAGGGCCCTTCTCTCTCCTCGCTGCAGCCCCAGCCCGGGGAAGAGGAGGAAAGACGACGGCCTTCCCTGGAGGGCCCAGCGGCCTCTTGGTCTCCAGAGTTCTCACATTGTCTGTCTGGCTCGCAGGCCGAGGACCTGGGCAGGGCAGGGCAGGGCAGACGAGATGCCAACATCTGGGAGGGCGGAGGGCCGCGGAGTCCTGAGGCCAAGCACCTGCCCTAAGGCCCGAAGGCCCCGCCTCCGGGGCACGTGGCAGCACGGGGCGGGGAGGGAAGGCAAGGGGCGCCATCCGAGGTCTTGTGGCCGCCCCACCAAGCCCGAGGGGCCCGCCCGCGCCCCCGGGCTCCCCCCCCCACCGGGCCTCCCCAGCCCGACACTCGCTGCAGCGCCCAGAGGCTTCGTCGTCGTCCTGCTGTTGGTCGTTGGCCTCCCCACCCACCCGGTAGTAGCTCTGTCCGCAGTTGCTGCAGACGGAGGGTGCGCCCACCGCGTGCACCTTCTTGTGTCTCCGCAGCGCGGCGCCCTGCACGAAGCCCTCCCCGCACTCCACGCATATGTGCGCAGGCTCCTCGCCGCCCGCCGCCCCCAGCCCGTCCCCCTGCCGGGCGCGCTGGGGC